AGTCATTCGTACAACATGTAGTCACCCCCGACTAGGCGTGGAGCGCGCCGACGTCGTTCGATCGCGTACGATGCGGGAGAACGGAGCGGGGGTACTTGGCGTAAACTCGGGTTGTGGGATTGAAGAGGCCGAGGAAACGCAGCGCGCGATGCGCGAGTCTGACTCGCCCTGCGGAACGTTCGATGTGGGGTTGGACATCGAGTATCGGGCGGACTCGCGCCTCGGCGCTGAGTCGTACGAAGAAAAAGAAACTGAAGGGATGTTAGTGGCGCGCTCGGATCGAGTGCGAGGGGACTCACTCACCTCCCTGCCGCGCGGATTCGTTCCGTTCGACGCGTTACAGTAACGAACGCGCCGTGGGCGTCCGAGGTAGATACAGCGATCGCGGGGTTTGATGCGAGTGACGTCGGCGCGTCCGCTCGGTAAGCGTAGGCCGACTCGACCGCCGTCGTGCGAGTAGAGACGAAAACTGACAAAAAGAAAGCATGTGAGCGCGGCGTCGCGGATCGAGTCCGGGTGGACGTACCTGGGGGACATCTGTATGCTATAACACGCGGGATCGAACGCGCAAGCGTTCCCGAGTTCGGTAGTGAGCGAGCGCACGAAGGGGTTGGTGTAGTTTTGAGGCATGTATCTGTAGTTAGCGGGACGCCGTGCACGCGACGCAGCGACGCACCAGGGAGAAGTAGCATCTAACAGCGAGAGGGCTGTTAGAAAGGGAGGGAGGAGTCAACGTGAGTGCGGGCGGGTACGGGCGATTATTGACACGTACGTGGGTACCCGCGATCTGCACGATCGCATTCGTTTGGCCTTTCGGGAGTTCGATGGGGCGGGACGGGGCGGCGCGTTGAGACGCTGGGCTTGATGGAGCCTTGTCGAGAATGGCGAGACGGCGAGGTTTGGCTGGAGTGGAGCGGGGAGCGGAGGAAAGGATCGATCAGCTGACCAAGAAATTGCTCCCACGCGGACTTGGCGTGCCGTCTTGACATTCCACTCTATGGAATCGACTGTCGCGCGGCCACTGCTGGCGCTCACGACGTCCACCTCGCACTCCAGCCTCCGCCGCCGCCAACGTCGAGCACGCCTCATCCTCCTCGCCGCCGCCGGTGCCCTCGTCCTCCTTGTCGGCTCGACGTACCTCTACTTCGGCCCCCGTGCAGGCTTCCCCGTCTCGGAGTGGGCCCCGCATTACCAACATCCACCGCCCCCTCCGCCAGAGCACGCAGACGGGTGGTACCCGTATCAACCCGGTGGGCCGCCCCTGTCCTCGACCTCCGACGCAGCAAAACTACACGCCCTCGCCTCCGCGTCCGTCGCCGCCTTCCGCGCGCGCGACGCCCCCTCCCTCGCCTCCGCGCGCGCGCTCTACGCGCTCAAGACCGGGCGCGCCCCGCCCCGCGCCTACGATGCCTTTTGGGCGTTCGCAAAAGAGAGGGGGTGCGTGGCGGCGGGGTACGAGGGCGTGCAGCGCGACTTTGCGCCGTTTTGGAGGACGGTGAGGAGGGGTGGGAGGGGGTGGTTTCGGGAGCGGGTGAGGGCGATGGTGGAGAAGGTGCGTTGTTATCTTCAGTTTTTGTTCGAATGCGTTAACAGAGAGGGGAGGAAAGCTCTCGAGCGAGCAACACGGCGTCGCTGCGCTCACCATCCGCGACGGCCGTGCACACAAACCAGAAAATCAGGCGACGTACTTCGATGGGGACTGGGAGAATACGATTAATAAGGTGTGTCCTGCGCCCTCGTATTGCCCCACCCCTTGCTCGTGAAGGGACCCCCGACCCTCTGTACCACCGCGTTCATCGCAGGCGCCGTTCTTGAAATTTTGAAACCCTCTCCCTCTCCCTCTGTCCCGTCTTCCTCTCTCTCGTTCTGTCCTTTGTGTTCTTGCAGCCGCGGGTTGTCCTGCCCACTACCGTGACCCTTTGCGTGCATGTGCTGCCACCGCGTGCGTGTGCCCAGAAGAGTCGCCCGTTTTTTCATATGCACACTACGCCGCCTACTTATCCGAGGCGCGCGGGAACGATCGCCATCCAAGGACAAAGACGAAGATGACGCGAGCCTTTGCATACGTGCGTGGGGGGGCATTTGCACGCCGCAGTCGATACTTATGCGGCTTTGTCGCGGTGGATTCACCGTTCGGCCCTGGGCGCTGGGGCCTGGTATCGACAAGCGAGGGAGGGGCGGCATCGTCTAGCACAAATTATCGATAGATGAATGGGGACGAACCGCGCACGCGTCCTCATCTCCATCTTCGTCCTTTCCGTTCCACTCCCTTTCCAGTTCCCGTTCTCCTCTATCCACCGCGCGGCCACCACACTCTCGCCCGATCTCCCATTTATTGCACTGTACCTGGATCGTACTCGGCTCACGCGGCGTCAACGGGCAGACTCCTAGTGCGCGGCGGCCTTCCTTTTCTTCCTTCTTCATCTTCCTCGCCATTTTGCTCTCCCCCCCTCCACTTACACTCACCCACTCGCAGTTCGCCGCCCACCTCCCACCCATGACTGTCCTCATCTCCGGCCGCGACGAGCCGCGCGTCGTCTTCGACGTCGGTCCGCTCTTCGAGGACCCCGCGCTATCATCACCATCTTCATCATCGTCATCCGGGATACAGGCCGATTCGGACGTGAACCCTCCACCTCACACCGCCCCCGCCCACCCCGACACCGACCCGGCCCTAACACTCACCGACCCGCACCCATTCGGCCTCGCCCCGCCCGACACCGGCGCGTTCTTCGCGAAGCGCGCGGCGTGCCGGCCGCGGAGGGGCGAGGGGGTGTTGGGGGATGTGCCGTGTGAGTTTTTTTTGTTGCGTTGTCTTGTCTTTCCTTTCCCTTGCCTTCTTCCGTTCCCTCCCTTCCTTCGCTCCCTCGCATCCCGTGTGTGTAACTGACATGCTTACGCGCGGCCCAGTCCTCCTCTCCGCCTCCTCCGCCGAGTTCACGACCGACCTCGTGCCCGTGCTTAGTATGACGAAACTCGCGGACGCCTCTGCGTCTCTTGAAGGAGGCGGAGGGGCGTCGTGTTTTGCGGATATATTGATGCCGGGGGAGGTGTGTTGCTTCTTTCCTTAATTCTGTTTCTGTTTCTATTCTCTTGAGTTCGCGACGGGCCCGGTGTAGTAAACGCCCTCGCCGTACAACTCGAAATCGCACGCACGCAGTGCATCTACTATTTTTTTGATATACTCTGGCTGACGCACCGATTCCTCAACCACAGTTCTACTACCGCAACTCCTGGTGGGCGGGCAAGTTCGAGTACCCGAACGACGTAAAGTGGGAGGATAAGAAGGGGGTGTTGTGTGAGTGGTTTTTCTTTCTTCCTTCCATTTGATTTTCTTTCGATTCCCGTTTGGCGCTTCCTTCCCATCAGCTAGCTAACCCCACCCCTAGACTGGCGCGGCAAATCCAACGGCGGGCACATCCGCGGCACGAACTACCGCTCCTTTCCGCGCTTCCGGCTCATCGACCTCGCTGCGCTTCCCGAGAACAAGGCGAAGGGCCTGTTCGACGTGCGCATTACGCAGTGGCACGAGTGGCATTGTACTGGTGCGTGGGGCTCTCCTCCCTCTTCATCTATCCACTAGCTAACTACAAACCAATAACACAAACACCAACTATGAAACTTACAACGACGGCACAAACAAAAGACAACTGCGACCCCGCCCCGATCCGCGCCGCATACAACATCACAGGCGAGAGCGTCCCGCGGGAGGAGGCGTACGGGTACAAGTACCTGCTCGACGTTGACGGGAACACGTTCTCGGGGAGGTATTTGGGGTTGTTGAGGAGTGGGGGGTTGGTTTTTAAGGTGCGTTGGCTGCGTTTTTTTTGGCCTCTGGCCTTCGCTTTCGTCGCCGTTTATTCGGCGCCTGCTTCTAACTTTTGCTACCTTTACTTGGCTTTCGTCGTTGTTATGGATCACCTCCCCCGTTGCATCTATTCTACTTCGCTTTCTCTGTCGTTCATTGATTGTCCCTCCTCCCTCTCCCCTTTCCGCGTTCCTGATTTGCCTTAGCTCGTCATTTACTGACTCCCCCTTTCGCTCGCTCGCTCGCTTCCAGTCCACAGCGTTCACGGAATTCTTCACGCCCTGGCTCGTCCCGTACGAGCACTTTATCCCCGTGCGTCCCGACCTTGCGGATTTGGCGGAGAAGGTGGAGTGGGCGAGGGCGAATGATGAGGAGGTGCGTGTTTTGCGTTGGGTCGTTCGTTTTGCGTGGACGGGGCTCATCTATTTCCCCCCTTTTTTTCTTCTTTGCTTTCCTGCCGTTGAATCGATTCACCCGTCCCGATCACTACAATCGAAACCCAAAAATCGAAACCAAACCATCCGGCACCCGCGTAGGCCCACCGCATCCAAGAAACGGGGCGCCTCTTCGCGGAGCAGGTCCTCACCGACGCGCAGAACGACTGTTATTGGTTTGCGGTGCTGATGGAGTGGGGTGCGCTTTGGGGGGAGGGGGAGGAGGCGTAGGGTTTGAGTGTTCCTTGGGTTGGGTTTGAGCGTGAAGTGGGGAGGGTAATTGCATTGGACTGTAGGATCTACGCTGCGCACTGTATCTGAATTGCTTTGTTTTGTTTTGCTCTTCGACGAAGTAGTCGTATTTGCTGAAGAGTTTTGTATCGAGTACCTTCCGAAGACGCATAGGGGTGGAGGGTCCACGGCTGTCTTTGATGAGAGTCTAAATGATTGGTGTAAAACACAGCAGAACCGGGTTCGACTCCCGGCACCCGCGTGGATCCTCTGGAACTCGGCTCCTTTTTTTTCGAGTAAAAAAAAGATAGTGCATTCATTGTAACCGACTTGCGCCGAAGTGCCCGCTCAAGTTTTCTTAAGCTTTCTGTCTCATCTCCCTCCCTTTCTCTTCCCGGACCTGGAACCAAACCATGCATGTTGGGCCGAACCCTGGGTTCTGTTTCGAAGATTGTGGGACAAGAGATAAGTTCAACCATCCGTATTTCTTCGTGTTCAGCAGTATGGGGATTCCGATGTATGTGCAAGCGGGTGTGGTGTATATGGTTCACTGCTGTTGGCAATAAGAATGGGATAGTTCAGGTTAACAGCAGAACCGGGCTCAACTCCCGGCACCCGCGTACTGCTATCGACATTTTTTTGTTTCTTTCTTTTGGACAGAATAATCATTGTCAAAGGACAGTTGGGATAAGCAATAATTATATATAAGCATCAGACAGAAAATGGATTACTTTTCTTTGTCGGGAGTCTAGGTGAGTATTCGCGGAAGTTCGATAAAGTGAAGTGGCTCATATATGCAGGAGACAAGTTTCCGTCGAAGAAACGCTGGGGAGAAATTTTGGCGACCTTTGTGCGCAGCCGCTTGGGGCAGTTGACAATGTGAACAAAGAGAATCGGCCAATGCTTCGTGCATGCCCAGTAATAATGAACTATTATGCAACCAATTGTGTGTGGATTACTTTTGAATATACCTCTAGCTTTTGTGCGCCTAATTCGGAGAGAAATGGTTTCGATGCACTCAATTCTCGCGTGATTGGAAGGTGTAGAGCCCAGCTTGTATCAAACGGTAGAGTGAGTGGTGTTTATTTAACTCGTCATTCTAATCTAGAGGAGGGAGCTATACGACTGAACGTGCGCCCGCTTCAGTCATCGGCGCCTTCAAACCAAGGGTCCTGCAATAACTCAGCCGCGGTGGCCCGGTCATTCGGATTGAGGCGCAAACATTGAGACATGAGCTTTGCCATTGCAGAGACATCAGCGGATGGGATAGCCGTATTATTCTGCCGATTACGTCCTCCAGAGGCCACACGAACACGGGGGGGTCTTTCTTCAGCTGACCTATATGGATGTCAAATTGTCAATTAAAAAAAACATCCGGAGAATGTTAAAAATGCATAACATACATGTTTCGTCGAAATACTCGCCCGCCAGTGGGCAGATACTGAGCTGTTCCGCTCGGAAATCTTCACCGGTGCCTAAAATCATTTGATATAGTATGTTTTCAACCTTTGTCAGGTTGTGCTTTTCATTGTCACGGTACTTGAAGAGAGTATTGGAAACGGCTAGTTCGTAGATCTAACAGCGACCGTCAGCATCATCAGGGTATCGCAGCAGCGGTGCAAGGCGAACCAGGCATCCAAATGACCAGATGTCCGCTGGTAGGTCCCATTGTCCCCCGAGAAATACTTCTGGGGCTCGGAAAGGTATCGTCGTTATCTCTCGATGAACATGAAGCGTGAGACTGCGGCTGCGTGAGGGATCATGAGTGTTACTTCCATCAGGTTAACAAAGGCAGTAGCGCACCGCAGCCAAAATCAGACAATACATAAGTAGCGCGGCGAGCGAGCTCGTCGGAGATGATGGGCAATGGTTGAGATACAGCAGCATGTACAATGCCGTCCTCCGACATTTCTGGTGGATGGCGTCGCGATGGATCCTTTTGTATCCAACGCTCCAAGGCCGTGGTGGACAGATCCGTGGTGAAAAGGATGTTGTCGGGTTTGATATCGGTATGCACGACGTCACGAGCATGCATATGAGCGAGGCCGCGTAGAAAATGAAGCATGATACGCTTGGCAGTCGGGAGCTCGAAAGGGGTTTTGCGGGACTTCATGAGAGCTTTCACGTCACCCCCGTAGAGGGGCAACACGAAACAGATATGAGTGCCAGCAGAGCCGCGGCCGGGAATGGTAAACTCGTCCAAAAGCCGCACGCAATATGGCGAAGGAGGACGAGACAAGTATCTGAGAGCCTCAGCTTCCCAAGAAGTACCCTTCTCATTCCTCTGGGTCATATAGCCAGTGAGCGCCTTGACTCCGACGAATCCATTGCCGCTGGGTTTACGATGAGCGATCCTTTCTCAATACGTCGGCACAGCGCTTACACTTTGTCGCGAGCCAGCCAGGTACTCGAGTGCGAGCCCCAGCCCAGCTTGCGCAGGATCGTATAACGCTGGTCATCTCCGATAGATTCACCAAATTCAAACTGCGCCCAGCCGTAGCCTTTTGCGGCTGGCATCCCCAACGCTTCTGAAGCGAAGGTCAACTTGAAGTCGACCACAGTCTTGCCTTCAGGATCGGCCGAAAAATGCTGGTTCGTTGGCTCTTGGGGTGGCTCTGTAGATGTCGACATGTGTCGAAGCTTAGCGCAGGTGCGGACAATTGGACGAGGGTGTCGGTAAAACGCTGCTCGTAGCATGTCCACAAGCCGTCTCACTTTTACGGAATCCCAAACATCATTCACGTGACATTCACGTGCAGTGCGACCACCACAGAATAGCGGGGGCCCTCCGGGCGAACCTGATCACAATTGAGATGATAAATTACCAGTCATTTGTCTCCTAGTATACGTTGGAAATTCTTGGGAACTTTCAAGTACCCGCGACTTGTATGGTCGGTAATTGCCGACCGGTCCGATCAACCGTCAATCAACTGTCAATCAAGTTATTAGTAAGATCGCACGATTTCTCGCTCTCACAGTGACCTGTGGTCCTGCGCGCAGTGCGCGGTGCCGCTCATTCTCCCTACACGCGGTGTCGCCCCTCGTCATTCTGTACCTTCTGATTCAACCCTACTCGCTCCGACATTCCCGGATCGTAACTTGGCCACAACTACTTGATTCGAGGCACATATTCTCCCGAACTCACGCTATGAAGATATCATCCTCGGGCCCTGCTTCCTCCCTTCGCTTGTAAACTGTTTGATACCACTCTTTCGTCCGCCTGTCCACGCCCTCAATCCGATAAAATTCCCGTCGAAACTCTTCACTCAATCTTGTATAGATCTTCCGTGAAGGAAACGGCCGGATAACCGCAAGGTCACCGATTGTCCTGCAACGGGACAGCATCACGTACAGATTCTGGAGGGTACGGCATTCACTAATATCAACCAGCGCGGCGTCAAGCGTCCTACCTTGGCATTTATAGTCAGTGTATGCATATGCGGGTACCAGGGGTAATTGTTCACGACTTATTGAGTACACTCCTTTGTTTCCTTTGAACTTGAAATATGACTTAACTGGAAATATCGGGACAACTCCTTTCCCCAGACCGTCCAATTTCACGTCAGATCCTTGCACTTCGACATATGCACATTTTGCGTAACGTCGTCCAAACTCATCTTCGTCCCATTTGATATCCACCAGACGACCTTCGGACCCGTTCACCACCCTTGCCATCATTGCAATATTCTCCGTCACCATCACCTTCATTCCAGGTACGAGCGGCAACTTGCCAAGTGCATCTTTCGTTACTCTGCTTGGTACATCCCAAACTCGTTGCTGGACAGAACCTTCCAGTGGTATTCTTCTGCACAAATCTCGGGCATGATACTGATGGATCTCTTGCCCAGTGACATCCGCAAACTTTTGAACCTTCAGAGCATTGATTCTATCCCGCTCCCTTCTTGTACCTACAATGATCGGTGCGTCTTTGAATTTTTCTTTTGTACGAAGCTTATCTGTGCTGAAAAGGGTATGGAGAATTCGTTTCTTCAGCACGAGATCGTCTGCCTCGGAGTAGTTCAGACCGTTCCCGCTTTGGATTTCAGACATCTCTGTCCGCCCATCCCAAGCCATTCCGAGGCGAATTCTGTTTAACAGGTTTGCATATTCCGGGTCCTTCTCCGCTCGTTGATTCTTACAAAGGAGTACAGCTCTGTTCACATCCTTCCAAATGAAAGCTCCGCGCAAAGCAATCTGCCCTCCCTGCTTTTCCTTGATACGCGGCGCTAAACTATTCCGGAACTCATGACTGAAAAGGGGTAAAGAGCCCACCGGTGGAAGCTGACCAAGATCACCGAAGAATATAACATTGACTCCGCCAAAAGGTTTGTCTTGATCCCCAGCATGTCCCCGCGCTCGACTAATACGTTCCGCGATCTGTCCCAGGAAGTGAGCCGAAACCATAGACACCTCATCGATAATCAAATATCGAACATTCTGCCAGATGTAGCCAAGATCCTCGTAGTTTATGGTATGGTTTTTTTGCGAAGGTAAGAATGTCAATGCGTGGATTGTATAACCATTGATGAGTACGGCAGCGCATCCTGTCGGTGCACTTACAAGCAGGCGCTCCGAATAACCACAGCGTTCGAACATCTCCACGATGGCTTCAATTACGTGGCTCTTCCCCGAACCTCCCATCCCACCAACATACATCAGAAGCTGGTTGTCCGTCCCTGAAATAAAATGATCCGCAACAATTCACAAAGCTCGTTCTTGTTCTGGATTACCGTCCATAGTGTATTCCGCGATGATTTTATTCACAATTTCCCTCATTTCGCTTTTCCTTGTTGCGCGTCGTGGTTGGATCTGGTGAGTGATAACTGTCTCATCGAGCGGAAGCTGATTTATATTTGTTTCCGGTAGCGCAGACCCGTTATTCAACTTTCTGCGTTTCTTGGGCAGTGAATCAGGTGCTGCTGGACGCTTTTCCTTACGAAATTTATCCATTATCACTCGGTGAGCATGAAGAGTATCCAAGTCTGAACCTGTTAGCCTCGATTCTGTTCCTAGCATGCCGGGTGCAGGCGACTCCCCCGTTGTCTCTAGCATCCCAGATTTTGCCAGAAGGTGACATAACTCGGACTGATAGTCTTCGTCGTCGTCGAGGCTGTTTGGTTCACGACTGTCCTCATCTTCGCTGCCAAGCTCTTCAGGATCAAGGAACAAATGGTTATCTTCATTTTCTCGCACGATATCAGTTAGAAATTGATGTCCAACAGGATCGTACTGCGCTCCCAATCTCTGCCTGTGGTACGCCGCACTGTGAGAGTCTCTTGCGTCTTTGCATTCGTTCTCGACATGAATATTCGACATGATGTCCAGGTGTTCATCTGCAAATAGTGTACGCTCAAACGCAGTGGTCCAAGTCTCATTTTCGTGCACGAGGTCAGCTTTGGTCCGCCAGGGTTTGAACAAAGTGAGCATTGATCGACACCACTCTTCCTTTTCTTCAATTCCTGCATCAGGGCGAGTGAACCGTGGTCCCAAGATAACCGGAACAAAGTCCGTTTTCCGCAGGCGAACCACAGGTGTCTGTCTCTGCGGATGTCCTGTCTGGAATCGTCCATATTGGTCCGGACTATCTGGAACCTCCGGTTTGAGTGCTAATGCAACATTC